CCAGCATCTCACCCACGGCAGCAGCTTCTTCCTCTTCCTCTAGCTCATATTCGGCCTCTGATTCCTCTTGAGGAACTATCTCTCCTCCCTCTTGTAACAAGAATACCTTCTTGTTTGGACAATCTCGAGAGTAATGTCCCATTCCTTGACATTTGAAACACCTCACGTTGCTGATAGAATTACCACTTCTAGGTTTGAACTCGGTTTTAGCTTCTTCTTTAACCCCAGAAGAGGCCGGTTTGATGTCTCTGGAGTAAGCTGGTTTGCTGCTCTCCTTAGGCTTAGGCACACTAGGCGTGAATGTAGACTTGATGATTCACCTCTTGACTTGAGATTCAACCAATTCAGCCTTTTGCACCATCTCTTGTATATCTACAAAATCCTGAAGTTCTACCTTGTCTTGAATTTCTCGGTTAAGCCCTCCAAGAAATCTCGACATTACCATCTCTTCTTCTTCTCTCAAATCTGCACGAATGAGCAAAGTTTCCAATTCCTGATAGTAATCTCGAACAGACTTTGTACCTTGGACGAGGCGCCTAAGCTTGTTGAGTATTTCGCGCTGATGATGGGCTGGAACGAACCTCTTCCTCATCTTTACAACAAGCTGATCCCAAGTAGTAATCGGAAGTTCTCTAAGGAGATTTCTGGTGACTCCCAACTGCTCCCACCAGAGAAGCGCATACCCATGAAATTCTGAAACTGCGATCTTCACCTTGTTGAGCTAGTAAGTTCCTTGGACCAGAAAATTAGACTCCATCTTCCTTTCCCAATCTAGATAAGCTTCGGGATCATTAGTTCCATGGAAAGGAGGATACTGGATTTTGATATGACGCAGCTGCTGGCGTAGAGGATCATAATCTCGATCATGTCCTCGACCTCGATCTCTTCTCACAGTTTCTCTGCTATGATCAGAAGCTTCGTCCTCCTCATAGTACTCTGGTTCTGATTCCAGGGTAACTCGATGCCCAGCAATATATTCCTCTCTGCGGTGTTTGACGATCTACCCTTGGGCCATCTCGATCTGCACCAGTAGGGTTCCTTCTCGGATTAAACGTAGTCTCTCTGCCCCCAATCTGGTTTCGGTTGGACTTAACTTTAGTCCTGGCTTCAGAAGGTGTTGGGTGGCGTGGGAGTTTCCGTGAAGATCCTATGTGCCCTTTACCCTTAGCTAAGCGCATTGCTTCCGACGGAGTTGGAGTTTGTGACGACTCTTCTCCACTTGCACTAAGATCTTTGAGCAGATCATTCATCTTTGTCTCGAACTTGTCATTGAGTTGTTTGATTTGTTGTGTGAGCTGAGTTGCTATGGCTTGATTCACTTCTTTAATCTGTTGAGACATTTCTCGGTTCAGAGCTTCCATCGCCTCAGCTGAAAGCTCCATAGTACCTAAAAAAAATTAAAAAAAGAACTCGCAGTAACTTGTTTTAAACGAAATCACAAAGACAAAAACTTGATTTAATTAATCTCAACATAAAACAAAAAAAATCGCGTAACCTATAATATCCTATAATAAGTTAACACAGAAAAAGCACAATCAAATACTAAGTAACAACGAATGTTACCGAACTAGAACGTGGACTAACAAAACTCAACGAAACCCTAACACACTAGCTAAACGAAATCATGAAACTCTTAACAAACCTAAACGAAAACGAAAACACGAAGACTCTTGACAACCTAAACGAAAATGAAACACGAAGACTCCTAACAACCTAAACGAAAAAAACAAATCGATAACAGCAGAAACCCTAGACACGATCTATCAGACTCGACACTAAACAAATAAACAGCGATCGATACTGAGGAATGCGCGATGGAAGAGTAGACATGATGATGAAGACTCGAATCCACGAATACTACTATTAAGCCTAACGAAAACGAGAACGGCTGAAACCCTAGACACGAAACAATTAAAAACTCAACCTAACAAAAATTCAAGACGATGAAAGCGGAGATCGACACCAGGTAATCTAGGTTTAGAAACGAAAATTCAAAGCACAGAGATTAGGGTTAGAGATTTCTCAGCCTTTGGTTCAGAGTTGGCTCTGATACCACGTGATAAGATCCTAGGTGATCAACTCTGAAGAAAAAGGCTACAGATGCTGCGATATTCTGGACAGGATGCAACAATGATGCGATGGGGTGGTGATGTTGGCTAGGCGTTCGATTCGATGGGATGATATGGGTGATACGATGATCGGATCGATGATGGTGATGGCTTGATGATCGAGTCGATGGGGTTGTGACAATGGTGTGATGATCGATTCTCAAACAAGGGAATGATATCGAGTTTGTGAGATAGAAGAATCTCTTGTAAACAGATTAGTTTTTAAGAGATTCGAATTTCAGAGTTTGTCTTGTTCTCGAGAGCAAAGAACACAATAAGGTTTTGCTAAAAATTCTTCACTGATTATGACTTAGTCGATTTCTAAGTTATATAGACTTAGAGAAATCGCAGCCCTAAAGACACAATACTACATGAAGTTTGAAATAAAACAACAGGAAGTTTGATCTAAAAATAAAACAGCGAGGCATCCTTTCCAAAATCCTAAGTGGTGCGCCTAAAACTACTAGTGCAAAAGTCATTGTGACTTAGCACATTATTACCCATTAGCAACAACTTCTAAGTAACTCGACGTAGCAATGATTTCTGCCTCGTTAAAAACCTTGGAGAAGAACCTCCTTCCTTCCAAAATCCTCACCAAGGAAAAGAGTACAGAATCATCACCTAAGTTACCTAGTCATTGTTATTGGGTTCTTCATTCTTCAAAATAGAGATGTTGAAGATATGAGCTTTAGCCTCCAGTTGATCGCTGTCCTCTACGGCAATGAGAGCGTGAGCTTCCTTAGCCATCTCCCTAGCTCTGGAACGAGTGATCCTTCCAGCTATCTCCGGCTCCTCCTCCTCTGAGCTTGTCACGATCATATCAAAATTGCTATCCCACGTTTTTTTTTCTGCACTGTATTTTCTTGGCTAATAAATTATTTCAAAAAAATAAACTGTATTCTTTTTCCATTTTAAATGACATAACAATACACTAGCATAAAAAACATATTCATGTATGTTTTTAAATAATCAACGTTGACAAGCTTTTTTTGTGTATATTCATTCTGTGTAAATATGATTTACAATCTAGTAGTTAGGTTTTAATTTTTTTTTATTTTTTTGCATTTTTTATTCCTATTAAAAATATTTTTTTAAATATAATAGAGTTGAAGTTAGTATTCACCTTTTAATCTATTTTTCATTATTTTTAATAAATACAATCATTATTAATAATCAAAATTTTGATTTATTTAAATAACATATACTACAATTTATACCACGAAATTTTTACCAATCAATTATTTTAACAAAATAAAAAAAACTCATATTTTTACAGCAAATTTACCGCAGAAATTTACAGTTTATAAAACATAATTTTTACTGCAGGTTACATCAAATTACAACATCGATTGTAACTCAACTTCAAAACTAGCGGAACTAAACAATTTTTTTTAAAAAGGAAAAAATTAAAATTATTAGTTGATGGGTTTGAAATGGATCCAAAACAATTTTTGAGACTCGGACATTTGAACTTCTAGGAATATGAGAGAGTGTGAAGTTCAAGAAGCTTTCTCGGAGGTTGCGGAATACTTCCAACTCTGACAAGAACGATGGCCAATCCAATGGACATTCTGACATGCTTACCAAATCCAAGCAATCGATCTGAAAGTGGACGGATAAGATCAGTCTATCTTTCATGCAAGATATAGCCCATAAGAGGCTCTCCAACTCAGCATGAAGGGCCGAGACGCTTATACGACAGCCCTGAAGGCCAAAAGTCTCACCACTCCTATCCTCCTTCAGGCTCCGCCCGAGCCCACTAACTAGGCCTCTGCCTATCCAGGATGCATCAAACCAACAAATTGGGAACCTCTAGGCATCAGGTAGAGAAATCGGGAGCGAATGAATGGGAGTAGTCTCGTCTGTTGCGTCTTCTTCTTCTTCCGGGTCGTTTTCAATCATTTAGCTTTCTGATTCAATCTTGGTGTGGATCAAAGTATCTACTGGGGAAATTTCTTTCCCGTTGAAGATCTTGTCGTTCCTTGCTTTCCAAATATACCACATGATCCAAGGATAAATATCCTTTTGTGGATCTTTCATGCCTAGCTCTTTTGTTTTCCAAAAGAGCAAGCTCATATTTTGGTAAATAAAAGTACTCGGGAAGAGGCCCGAAAGGGACGGAAAGTCCGATAACGCCCAGACTTGTAAAGCCGGGGGACATAAAAAGAGTAGATGGTTAATATATTCTTCAGGACTCCCACAGCGGGGGCAATGCTTATCCGTTGCCATATGCCTGTAGATCAGGTTTTGGCAAGTAGCAATACATCCTGATAAAGCTTACCACATAAAATGCTTCATCTTTCCAGGCGTTCGTATTTTCCAAACGTAGCTTTGAAGAGCTATGATACTCGATTCTTTCACGACATCCAAATTTTGTGCAAGCTTCGTTCTTCTAATCAACTCATAACCTGATTTGACCGAATATATCCCTGATTTAGTATGGTTCCACACATATCCGTCTAGGATACGGTTCCTGCTAGGTCTCAACCCAAGGATAAGAGAGACATCCTCAGGTTGGAAAAAATCTCTTAGGAGAGGCTCATCCCATTGCTTCGTATCTTGACGGATAAGATGGTAGACTAACATTCCTGGATCCTGAAAGCTGATTTGAGGGGCTGCTCTTGGAGATCGGGCCCTGGCGTCGGGGATCCAAGGTTCACTCCAGGCTCTGGTGTTTAGTCCCGACCGATTGTCTTCCTGATTGCCATTTTGAGATACGGTTTGGCTGCCAACATACTTCTCCATCCATAAGATGGTGAGTAGACATTTTGATTCTCTAATGGATCTGATTGTCGATAATATCTTCCTTTTATTTTCCCTTTTTTAGTGTTAAAACTCTTATATTATTTATAAAACCGCACAATTTAACGTTTAGGTTAAGTTTAAGAACTAATGGCGTCAGAGAAGGTTCCATCGGAGTTGGAAGAAGACATACTCGTTAGGGTTCCACCTTTATCTATCGCTCGTTTCAGAACTGTTTGTAAATGATGGAACACTCTTTTCAACGTTAAGAGATTTGTCAACAACCACTTGGCTCGTGCCCGTCCTGAGTTCATCTTAAGGGCCAAATGCAACCTTTATTCGGTAAGTGTCAATCCGACAATCTAAAGGAAGAGGAGCGTGAGATAAACTTATATATTCCAGGTTTAGAAGCTCATGATATACATACCAAGTTACTGTGATGGCTTATTGCTTTGTGCTCTGAACAGTGGAGCAACTATTTGGAACCTGTGGTTGAGACAAACTAGACAGAATAAGGTTCAACTATTCAGCTTATATGGCATTAGATACGATAGTAATAGCCTCGAAAGAAGTACAAGATCTTTTTGTATATTTATCATCGAAAAAGTTTCAATCACACTGATGACTATGGACGATTTGCCATCTACTAATTTGCAACCAATGCGTAGTATATTGATGCTTCTTACGCAAACAAGTCATTGTCGAAAATTGCTCAGTGTCACTCATGAATGGAAATTTTTCTTGGATTGCTTATAATAAGGCCACTCTCGAGTATTTCATCAAAATCTTTGATTGTTCCAAGGAGATATTCAAGCCTTTGAGTATTCGACCATGTAAGTACTACGTAAGATACCACTCTCTGGCTGTTTTTAAGGGAGATCAGTTTTTGATATTAGAACAATGCATTAGAACAAAGAGGATTGAGATTTGGGTGACAAAGAATAAAATTAAAAATGAAGATGGAGAGATGGTGTGGATTAAGTTCATGACTGTCTCAATACCAAACTGTATGTTATATAACACATGGCATGGTTCTTCTCCAAGTTACTTCGTCGATAATAATATCTATGGAAAGATAATGGTCGTTGTTGATAGCGTATATCAAACAAGGGTAAAACAGTCATATTTAAATCGTCAATTTTGTTTTATTCTAAGCTTCTACATTCGGAAAAATACAATAAGAGATTAGGTCGTTGGAGGTCTAGGAACTAAATAACAAAGGGAAAACTAGAAGTAAACTTGACGATCTCAAAGCTCTTCACTTTGTGAGGTTTCTCTTTGATATCGAATTTTGGATGATGTGAATAAATGAAGTCCTTTCTATTTATATGATTGCATAATCAGTCTAATTTGCTTTTTCCCCCCGATATGGAATTCATGATTTTCCCTCCAACATTTCTGGCAATCCTCCGTGAAATTCAGAGCTCGGTGTAAATTTGTCAAATTGGGCTTTAATGGGCTTCTTTAAGAGACTTAGGCTGGCCCGCCGATTCAGACTCGATACTAATCATCATTAACAGAGGTTTCTCTAAACCGGTTTTGATTCATATCAGGTTAAATTAGGGGTGTGAAGTACACCACTAAGAGTCGTGTGTTGTAATGATGCATGTGGACAGGCTTGCAATTTTATTGTGAGAGGAGATCATGCCAAAAAGATTAAAATAGATTCTGTGGCAGCCACCGATTCTGTCCAGAGCCACCGATTCTGGTTATAAAGCATCGACGTCGAAACCCTAAACCCTAAACCCTAAAGCATCTATCCTACTATATATACATGTATTACCTACATATATTTTTACATACAAAATCCATCTTCTAAAGTCTAGCAATTTTTATAAAACTCGTCCACCTTGTATATCCCGATCTGGTTTAAATTATATATTTGTTTAGTTGGTTGTTCTTCCATGCTAACCTTTTAATTGTTTTGTTCCGATCGAGATTCTTCTATGCTAACCGGTCAAATATCTATGTTTTTTTTTTTTTTTATCGTATTCTATATTACTATGCATCACAACTGTCTTATTTTTTAACCCCTGTTTTACTCTCTATGCGATTGATCATCGAGATATCATATTTGTGTTCTCTGTTTTGCTTTATAATTCTATACTAGGAATTAACCCGCATATTGTGCGGGATAATATTTTTTAAATTATCTTTAAATTTAAATTTAATTTTTTGGTTAAATTAAAATTAATGGCGAAAATCCTTTAACAAAAATATAAATACTTAAAGTTAGTGACAATTTGATAACAATATATATTTATATATATATATCACACAGCCGATATTTATTTGTATAAATATCATCAAATAGGACTTTGAGTTAGTTTTGTTATCCGATATGTTTTTAAAATATGAAAGTGATATGATGGATTAGAAGTCCATATATATATATATATACGTATATACATTCCAACAAGGATTAGAATCTAAATTTACATATCTATAAAAAAATAATTTAATTGTGAATATTTTATTAGAAACCAACTATCATTTTTAATTAATGAATTATATAATATATGTTAATAATAATTATATATAGAATTTTCGAGTTGACAAACCCGTCTACTTAATCTATTTCACAATTTATTAAAATATTTGATTAGCCAACCTGTAAAAAAGCATAATTAAATTTTGAAAACATATTTCAGTTTTATAAAAATAATTGAATTGATTTTTGAAAATGGTACTAATTAATAATGAAAATACAAATGAAAAATATTGGACAAGTTTAAATAGATTTTTTATATATATGAATTGATTATTATTTAAAATAATATAATATATTTTAATATTTTAATAAGTAAATAAATTAAATACACTTTTGATTTATATCCATATATATTCAAAACATATATGTGAACTCTATATTTAGCTATCTTTTACAAAAGAATATTTAGTTGAGCTTTCTATATTTGTAAAGTTTATTTATGTAATATCTTCTAAATAAAGATTTATTTATGAAATATTTTTTAAATAAAGGTTTATTTATGTAATATATTTTGTAATATCTTACAAATAAATTTTCATTTATGTAAATTTTTACTCAAATAATAATTATATATATAGGATTTTCAAGTGGACAAACGCGTCTACTTAATCTATTTTGCAATTTACTAAAATATTTTTTGGTCAACCCGTAAAAAACACAATTTAAAAATTTGAAAACATATTTCAGTTTTTATAAAAATAATTGAATTGATTTTTGAAAATGGTACTAATTAATAATGAAAATACAAATGAAAAATATTGCACAAGCTTTAACAGATTTTATATATATATATATATAAATTGATTATTATTTAAAATAATACAATATATTTTAATATTTTAATAAGTAAATGATAACACCGTATTTTTACAACTTTTATGGATCGTTTTGAAATACTTTTTCTATGTTTTTAATTGCTTTTAAGTACTTTTATCATGTTTTTCTAGTAGTTCCAAGACTCTTTTCAGGAATCTTAGGGAAACACTTTACAAAATGGATAGAATACCAGATTTTTAGCTCAGAGTCAAACTGTCAGAAGTTCACCCCCGATTGAAGGCCTTCTCACCGTATGATCCAGCTCAAATTTGGAGATCTTAAAGATGGAAGTATCAGCTTTCCAGCACACTTTACAGCTTGGCAATCCAACGGTTCAATCAAAAGATACGCGAAGAGCAAGATGTCTCGTAAACCAGCCGGCAAGCGTTTCCGCCGCGGCCAACAGGTCATTCCCCGCGGTCACAACCATCTCGACCGCGGCCAGCCATCCATTCCCCACGGTCACGCACTTCCCGACCGCGGCCAGCGAACTCCGAGTTTGAAGGCCCATTTTTGAAGCCCGTATCATTTTCCCATCCTCAATTCCGGAACCCTAGACACCAGAGAGTATTGGAGACTATAAATACATGTCATTTAGGTCATATTTAGGGAGAGAAGAAGAGAGACGAAATACTTTACAGAAATTTTACTTAAGCTTTGTTTTTAGGTTATAGGGAGAGAGAGAGATCTATCTCTTGAACCCTTGTTCTTTCTTTTTCAATTTCAGTTTTTGTACTACTTTTTAATACTATGTTTTTGATTTCGTTTATCATGTCTGCGTAATTTTATTGTTGGGCCTCAAGGATTTTCGATGGGGATATATATGTTTGATGAGGATTCCATGAGCTTTTGAGCCGAATCTTAGAACTTTTTCTTCTGAATTGGAATGGAAACCTACCTATGGGCGATTTGTGAATGCTGACGAGTCTTAAACATAATGCACATCTTCTTTTCCAGGGCCAGAGTGGAAACCTACTGGTCAGGGTTAAGAGAGATAGTTGTCTATGATCACAACAGTGGCATATTCATACGTCCGTGACTCCAGTTCGAAAAGTTTAAGCTAAGATCTTATCAAATTTACTCTCTAGAAATGTTTTGAATCGTTCATACCCCTGAGAAAACTTCCTGAACCCCAGCGCTTTCTTTCCTATAGATTTACACTGATTTTCTTTCAAGTTTTAGTCTAGTATTTTCATTCTCCCAATTGATTTTTATTAAAGCAATTAGATTTAACCGTTTTTCTCGTTTTTACTCGTTTTCGTTAAGTTTAGTTATTAGGTCATTTTAATTCCCATATTTTCTCTTTAAGATTCGTTTTTGCGTTTTAAAAACACCACCAAAACCCTTACAAAACTCGCCTGGTTCTAGACTTCCTTACTATATATTTCTTTCGAAGGCTTTTGCAGGAAAGATCCTCCTTCCCTGTGGATTCGATCCCTAAGTACTACAATCGATCAGTTGTGCACTTGCGGCTATTGATTTCATTTAGGGTAAAACTTGAAACCCTCACCACACGACCACAATCAAGTTTTTGGCGCCGTTGCCGGGGAAGGCACGCGTTTTCTTTTCTGCGAAACCCTGAGAAAGGTTGGTAAATCGACTCTAGAACCCTTTTTTCTGCATATTTCCATTTTTCGGTTATTTTGTTTCCACTTCAGAAGCAATGGATCCTATAAATCGAAATCCCTACTATGAGGAAGGTTTTTACAACACTCCTCAAGCCACCAGACGCAGAGAAAAGCAGTACTTACGCGATCTCTACAAAGAAATTCGAACCGAAGACTACAGAACGTTCCAGAACGAGCCCTACGTACCTCCAATGGTAAACCCTAGACATCCTGTTTGTCGTCTGCCTCACCGATATGAAAACGTCCAGCTCAGTCACCGATTGAGTCGACTAGAGAAGGTGGTCATGCACTTAATCGCAGCTCAAGCCACATCAAGAGCCGCCCTTCACGATAAAATTGACAGCATGTCAATTCACTTTAACAAAAAGCTTGATGATCTTTCTGCTCTTACAAAGTAGTCTGTGCCCTAGATGAAGTTGAAGATAAGGTCAAAAAGCTTATGAAAGAATGTGAAACGAACGGTTCAACGCTTCCCATCAAAGATCTTGACCTAAAAGAAGAGGAAATAGAGTTGGAAGACCCAAAAATCAGTTTAGATGGCAAAGGAGAAGATGAAACGGCTGAACCATCTTGGAGTCTCTCTCTCGCGGTCACGACTCAAGCGACCGAGACCAACAACCCTCCAGCCGCGGTCGTGAGCCTCCAACCCGCGGCAACCCACTCTCCACCCGCGGTCGTGCAGCCTCCACCCGCGGAAAATAGTCGGTCAGTTTCGTTTCAGCCCTTTTCTAATCTTACAGGTCAATGTTCATTTGATACATCTGCTGAGACGGTCAAAACTCCTTTTCTTGAGCAAACGGTGGACGCCATCAGCTCCAAAACATCTCAAGAAAAAGATGAGGTACTTCCCTGTAACATAGTCTTAGCATATAAAGATGAATATGAAGGGCAATATCTCGAGGACGAAGACTATCGCCTGTTCATAGAAGGAGGCAATCCAGACAAAATGGTGGAACTAGAAGCACCAATCTCCAGGGAAAGACTCATTGAATTCAACAAGTTTGTGAAATCGATCCCTCTTTATACAGGTTTCAATGATATATGGCACCTTGGTTGTTTGCAAGTTTTCTTTAGGTACAGCAAGGAGACAAAAGAGGATATCCGAACCTATTTTAGGAGGGCCAGACGCCTGACTTTTCCCAGGACATCACCTGATGCTGCAATTTATTCAATCCACCTTCAAAGACCTGAAGACTGCAGCTACTATACCAACAAAATCAGCAAAGAGAAGCTCGACGAATTCAATGATATAGTCCGAAATTTGCCTGAAGAAATCACATTTGCCAGAGCTTGCAAGGACTTCATGATAGGCCATTACTTCTGTGAGAGCAAGGAATCAATCCCTGAGATAGAAGACTTGTTCAATCATGCTAGAGGAGATAAACCTGTTCGAACACTTCACAAAATCGAAGGTGTAGGTCAGTTTCTCATCTCTTGTTCTATAGAGGTGAAATGTTAAAAAAACGTGCTTTGTGATTCTAGAGCTTGTCTTAACATGA